CCCCTGGGGCGCGCCCCCACCCCAGACCTGTCTCCCCACACTTCCTCGCGCGAATGCCGCCCGCGGTCCCCAAATCAAACACTGAGGGCCGCGATCGCCCAGCGAGGCGCGCGCGGCCGCACGCGCCGCCGCCGCTGGCCGCACGGCGTTCGACAAGCGGCCGAGGGGCGGCTGCGGCCAGTGCACGCGTGCATGTCCTGCAATGGCACGCCCTGCCTGCAGACGGACGGGCGGCAGTCCCCACCACACCCACCTTGATTTGACGACCCCCACCTCCTTGCTGCTCCTGACAACATGCATTGACCTTGTCGATCAGTCAACCACGTACGCTCCATCGTCCCCATCCCCAGGATCGCAGCGCCGGCGGCCACGGCCCTGTCGCGGCCCGCGCGGCCTCGCGCTCCCTGGCGAATAAGGGCGCGGCTGTGTAACGATTTTGAGATTAATATTCATTGCTGTGATCGCCAGGGGGTTGGCAGTCGCGAGTGCTGGAGGCTAAACATCGCCGCAGAGCGTGTACGTGTACGCGTGCGTGTGTGTGTGTGTGTGTGTGTGTGTGTGTGTGTGTGCGTGTGGCGGGGGGGCTCGAAGGATGGCACACCCAACCCTGAGGAAGCCTGTGTCTGCGTTTCATGTACTGTATTGCAGGCTGCGTGTGCCGGTTGGCCGGGAGGACGATCCAGGAGTGGCCCTGACGTATGCCCAGGCGACTACCGTAGCTGCGCTGCCTGGGGGCGCACTGCTGGCTGGGGGAGGGCCACTGGCTGGGTAGCGCTCCTTGAGTTGTGTCTGTACAATTAAATCCTGTCTGCACTCTGCTTGGTGGATGCAGGGGCGTTTTGGTCTGGACCCGGACGGGCCCAGTTGAGTACCGACGGTGAGCAGGGGCCGAGGACTCAACCAGGGCGGTGCGCGCCGCAGCTTACAATTGGATGCCACGCTTTTTCAAAAGATTTGACAGATCATTGGAACTGGAATTCGGGTGCATCAGGGTCACGGGCGGCCCTCGCCGGCGCGCGCCCCGCGCCGCCCGCCGCGCGCCCGGCGGGCGGACAGGCGGTTGAGGGCGCGGCGACGCCGGGCGCGCACTGAAAGGTGGGCGCAGGCCTTGTATGGGGGGCTGGGGCGGCTGCTCAAAGCAGCCATCAGTTGTGGGTTCGTTGCTCTTGAGGGGCGTGCGTACTGGGCCCCGCTGGCTGGGGGCTAGGTGGACAGATGAGGCGTGCGGCACATGTGATGTCATGTAATCGACAGCATAGGACAGACCAGGTAGCCCTCGACACACGCGCGACAATGCAAAGCGTATGCGTTCAAACACGGATAGACACACGGATGGACACAGCTCTCGCACGCGCCCTGCGCCCTGTGGCATTGGGCGGGGGCGCGGCGTTGGATCTGGGCCAAGGGCAGGGGACAGTGCAAACATATCGCTTTGGCTTTACGTGTGCGAGGAGGCGGCCGCCCTCCCGGCGTCCTCGCGCGCCAAAAGGTGGCGCGCGGGGCGGGAGCAGCGGGGCTCCCAGCCGCGGCGGAAGCTCAACGGGTGCGCAACAAGACCCTGCTCGGGGGAAAGCGGACGTCTGTTGTACAAAAACAACCGAAACGAAACGGAGCGCCGGCGACGAGGGGGCGTGTACTGCCTGGCGCGCGGCGCCAGGGAGCCTTGGTCGGCTGCAGGCGCGGCATGCGAGCCTCTTAGAGAGCCCCCGCCGCCGGCGGCCCATGGTGCAGCACAGCACGGTGGATTGAAACAGCAAAGCAATGACAGGCCTCGGCAACGGAATTCGCCACAGCACAGATTCCACAAATTTTGGAAACCTTCGCAGCCGAGGGGCCGCACGCCCTTAGTAATCCGACGGCGCCGCGGCGCCGAATCCAACGGAACGGCCCTGCGCTCAAAAGCGACCAGGGGCCCCTTGAGGCCGATGCAACAGCAACAGTGGGACCGATTACGCAAACGGACAGTGTTCGCAGCACGCGCGCGCGCCGGGGTGAGCGGGGTACCGCGGGGCGCGCGGGCAGCACAAGGGTTGGGGGGCGGAGGTCGAAACCAGGACTGAACCTTGGGCGGCGCGCGAGTTCTGCGCCGCTCCCACCGGCGGCTTGCAGCGGGCGAATGACAATGTGCGGCGCGGGGCGCCCAAAGGTGGCGGCCGCGCAACAGGGGTGGGACGTGCGCGCGCGCATGGGGGACCGCAGCGCGGCCGGGAGGCGCGCGGGACGGCTGCCGGTGAGTGGGCGGCGGGCATGGGGATGGGGGGGTGCGTTCGATTTGTTGCCGCGGGCGCTGGCCGCTTGCTGCAGCGGCTCCTAAGCAACAGTCCGGCTTGTTTCTGCTCAAAAACTCGGCCGCCAAAATTGGCCCGCCGGCGGGCCCGTGACTGGGCCCGTCCGCCTCTCTGTATCCCCTTCGATACTCCCCCGCTCTGATGTGAGGGCTGTGCCACCGGGCGCACGCGCCCGGCCCAGGAGCGGCGCCGGTTTCCGCGGCCGCTCCCGACGGCGTTGCGCGCGGGGCGCCGCGCCGCGCTGCGCCTCAGAAGCCGCCCATCAGCCCGGCGCTGGACAGCGCCGGCGGCGCGGGCGCCGCCATGAAGCCGCCCTGGCACTGCAGCTGCAGCATGTGCAGCTTGATGGCCTGCTGCTCCTGCTCCCGCTGCAGCTGCGCCAGCTGCTGCTGCAGCCTGCCGCGCGGCGACGGCGTGCCGCCGCCCCCCGCGGCGCCGCCGCCGCCGCCGCCGACGGAGCAGGAGACGGGGGAGCAGAACGCGCCGCCGCACGCGGCCGTCGACGAAGAGCCGAGGGACGGGCTGCAGTCACTGCTGCTGCTGCGCGCGCGCAGCGCGCCGCTGCCGCTCGTCGCGAGCGAGCCGATCACAGAGCCCGCGGCGCTGCACACGCTCTGCGCGCTGGTGCAGCTGCCGCTGCGGCCGACGGCGGCGGAGGCGAGGTCGAGGGGGGGCGGCAGGTGCGGCGCGGCGGCGGCGGAAGCCGCGGGGCCGGGTTCTAGGTCGAGCGGCCACATCAGGGAGTCGCGCCGCACGCGCTCGGCGACGGCCGCGGCCGCGAGCGCGCCCGCGGCCGCGCCGGGGCAAGCGTGCGACGCCAGGGGGGCCTGGAGGCCGTATTGCGCCAGCAGCGCCGTGGTTGCGGCGCACGGCACGGCCGGCGGGCTCGAGACCGCTGGCGGGGGCGCGAGGCTCTGCGCCGCGTGCCACGGCCACGCCGCGGCCGCGGCCGCGGCGGCCGCGGCGGCCGGGTCGTGCGGCGGCCAGCTGAGGCTCATGGGTGCGGAGGCGGCGATCTGGCGGAGTATGTTGTCAGTATCCGCCAGCCGCCGCCGCTCGACCTCCGCAGCCAACTGCTGGCCGAAGAGATGCAGCGCCGCGGCGGACTGGCCGGCGCCCCCCTGCATGTGCAGCGCCTCCGCCAGGCCGCCCTGCTTCGCCGCCGCCGCCGCCGCGAGCGCCGCGGCGCCCGGCCACGCCGCCGCCGGCGGGGAACCCCCGAGCTGCGGCGCACCCCGCGGGGG